GTTGAACATGTTTATGTTGAGAGATTCCTGGCCGTGTGTGGTTGATAGTTGGAAATACCTATTAGGAAGTCAGGAGAAAGGTGTGGGTTAGTGATCTAGTTAGACTTAGGTGATATAGGTGGTCATTGAAGCTGTGGCTGTTGATGAGATTGACTAGACAACAAATACAGAAATGGAAAAAGGACATGGCAGGAACCTAAAATTTTCCAATATTTAACTTTTTGTAGAGGAGAAAGACCACGTGAAAATTTGTCTTCTAAGTCCACACTAAGCTTTTCACAAAATATTTCTTTCATCTGACCATCTGGATTTGTTTTTACCGCCCATCTTGAACTTCTGAGATAGGGAGGTTAATGACCGCTTACCTGCTGGTTTTGCTTTTTACCTGTCTTCTTTTAGAGTTAAATTCAATATTTATGATTTTATTTCCTCTTCATGTCTATTTTAATAGTTACACTTCTTTGCAAACCTTTTAGGAATTGCTTTTTAGATTTACTGTATATGTGTCTTACTCTGTTCAGGCTACTATACCAAAAACCATAGAGTAAGTAGATTTCAAAAAATAGACATTTCTTGCTCACAGTCTTAGAGGGTAAAAACTCCAAGATCAAGACCTGGGAGATTTGCTGACTGAAAACTAATGTTGTGGTTATAGTGAAGTAAGGCCCTATTTCCTCATTCATAAATGGCTTATTGTAGTCTTACCTGATGGAAGACTCAAGTGAGCACCTAGGCTTCTTTTATAAACACTAATCCCTTTCATCAGGACAGCCATCATGACCCAGTCACCTTCCAAAGCCCCTACTTCCAAATATTGTCATGTTGGGAATTTGGTTTTAACTTGGGAATTTTGAGGGGTGCACATTCAGTCCATTGGAAGTTTTAACTTACTGCCCTCTAACTTCAAGTAGTATAAACCATTTTTGTACAGCGTAAGAACTTTATATAAATTGTTCTTCCAGTTGCTTTCACTCATCTTTTGTGGGTTACATTTTACTTTTTGTACATGGTAACCCTATAATTTATAATATTGCATGCTCATTTTCTATATATATCTTGTTCTGTGCTTTTCTCTGTGCCTGTATCTGTCTTCCTCTTTCTGGTGGTGGTAGAGATTAAAATGAAGGCCTTTGTAGTGAGCTGCATTTCCTTTTAAAAAGGATCTCTCTTAAATTGCCCAGCCTGAGCTCAGGCTTGTGAATTCCTCCTGTCTCAGCCTCTCAGTGCTGGGGTTACTGATGTAGGGATTACTACCATACTGGGTTATATTTGCCTGGATTTTATTTATTTATTTCTTAAAGCCATTACAGGCAACAAAAAATATTTTAAATTTACCTTCATGTCTGGTATTCCTGGCACTATTTCATTTTATAGATCAAAGTTTCCGTTTGGTTTCATACTTAACAGCTGAAGAACTTATATAATTATTAACCAGCTGATATTACAGGAAATTGTTTCAGCTTTGTGTGTATGTGTGTAGGACCTTAATTTGCTTTCATTTTTGAGAGATATTTTCGCTATACTGTAATTCACATTTTTTTTTTCTCTTTTGAGCATTTTAAGGTATCACTCCACTGTTTTCTGACTTGCAGTTTTGGAGGAGTTTACCGTAGTTCTTATCTTTATTCCTCTATGCATGATTTTTTTTTTGTCTCTAGCTACCTTTGAGATGTTTTCTTTATCTTGGGTTTTAGTATTTTATCTATAATGAATATAGGAGTGCAGTTTTTTTGTGGAGGGAGGTGGTGCTGTGGGTCAAACTCAAGGTCTCACATATGATAGGCAAGCCCTGTATCTGAGCTATACATCTTTCTGCTTAGTGTTTGGTGTTCTTTGAAAATTTTGCATGTGTGGGTTGAAATCTTGCATTCTTTTTGAAAAATTCTTGGCTGTTAACTTTTTCAGACTTTCATTCTAATTCTCTTTGCTTTCTTCTTCTGAAATGTTAATGTATTATTCCATAGTTGTCAGATGGTTTCTTGAAAACATTTTTTAAAAGTTTTATGCACGTGTATGCATTATGTTCTGATCTGTTTTCAAGTTCTCCAAGTCTTTCTTAGTTGTGTCCAGTTTACTGATGAGCATGTCTAAGGAATTCCAATATGTTTTTTAGATTTGGAGGCTGTTAGGAATTAAACCAAGATCTTGTGTATTTTAGGCAAGCACTGGCATATTGAGCTTCACCCCGAGCTGAAAATTACTAATAATCTTGCTTATATTTGTTTGTTTTTTACTAACATTGTTTTCCTTACAGTTTTCATATATCTGAAAATTCCCTTTCTCTTTGTGCAAAATACTGCCCCCACCCTTTTTCCTGCTGGATCCCTTAACATGTTAATCATATTAATGCTTTTTGTGTGATGGTCTGTAATACCTACGCCTGAGCTGTCTCTTGTTTGAATTTGTTGATTATCTCTGGACAGTGGAATTTCCTTTCTGTTCTGTGTCTTACTCTTAGAAATCAAAACCAGGGCTATGTGGGTATTAGGCAAGCACTCTGCCACTGAGCGAAATCAGCAATCATATCTGATACTTTTTGACCCAAGTAGCAGATAACATATGTAGCAAAATGATAGAGACTGAAGCTAATAACATTTGTACTTGTAAAAAGGACAAACATCTTTTTTTCTCAGTCCATTCATGTGGGAAGTTGAGTCAGTCTGTTCTTGAGCAAAATTTGGGTTTTGTTGGTGGTGACTTTGTCTTTAGTATACTACCAACTTTGTATTCCTCCAGTTATAGGTTCCTGTTACTTTGTGCTTGGTCTGAAGTCTAGGTACTGTAGAATTTTTTCATTTTTCCCTCTCTTTAGATTTAATTGTGTCTTCCCACCTTGCTGTAGATGAGAGTATCTCTCAATGCTTTTGCCCCTCTGTCAGTAACCTGCTGCTGTAAACTAGAACTAGGTTTTTGATAGGAGCAAGGGGTTTCTCTATTCTGTTGATACAGCCTCAGGCCCCTGAACTTGAGGGTCAGTCCGTGTTGTGCCCCCCCACCCCAGCGTTTCTTTCCCTTAGTCCCGACTAGCCTTGTGTCTGTAGTTGCTTTTAGATGGGAGGTTCCTGTTCCATATCTGTCTGTAGCAGACCTCTGTTACAGAAAGTAAGGGGTCCTGGACTGAAGGTTGTTTTGTCTACCTCTGTGAGGGCTAAAAAAGATTTTGGTTTTGCCTTTTCTAGCACACCAGCAACTCTTTACTTGTGTCCTGGGAAGGAGTTTCCTATCTTTCCCTAGAGACAGAAGTCTTTTGTTTCTATTCTTCCCCCAGAAGTAATGACTCTGCCAGAGTTTTATGGTTGAGAGATTTTGCTACCTCTACTTCAAATTTATGTAATTTTTTTTGTCTTTTTTTTTTTTCTTTGTAATAGTTTTGAAAGATTGGTGGGCTTTGTAGCTTCTTTACCCCTAGTCTCGTAGTGACAATCACCTCTTTCACTCCTATCACTAAGGGAGACTTTTTTGGTTCACTTAACATCAGTCTTTCTAACTGGTAATAAAGGCTTCATGCAGAACAATTGAGTAGAACTTCCCTTGTTCCTGGAGCTCTTGTTATCCCAAACTGATTTGGCTTTTAAAATTTGAGCTAATTTTTTTATTACCTGCTTAATGGTTGCCAATTTTTATGTTTATATTTTTGGGTTTGTTTTTTTTTTTTCCTTGTTTTCTGTGCTCTGCCCAAGGTAAGAAAGCTTGACTGTCCAGTTTCTCCTTGCATAGCCTTTTCCCTCTTAGGAATGTAGCTTGCTTGGCTGTCTTGCAACCTGAGCTCTCTGGTGTGCTCAAAAATAGGTACTCTTCCCCCTCTCTTTTTTTTTTTTTTTTTTTTTTTCTTTTTAAAGCTTACTCAGTATTTTCATGCTGTTTATATCTCAAGCAAAGAGACTTTCCATTTAAAAGTTTTAAATTGCTACTTTGGTAATAAGATAGTGCATTTATATTCTGTGTATAACTTTTCAAAGTTTTTAAATCCTAGAATTGCCCTTTTGAGAAAGAGATTTTACTACAGATATTCTTAGATTTCTGAATTTTATATTAAAAATAAAATTACCTCAAAGTTGCCATTGAAACAGTGGTAAATCACTTGAATCATCTTGCCACCAAATCCCCCACCCTTTGGGAACAAACAGAATTATTTGGGAGTAAACTTTGGAACCTATAATTGAGAAGATAAGGACTTTGAGTATTTTTTGTAAGAACTGAAGTTCCACGTTTTCATGAACAGATTTTCTATTTCATAGACTCTTTAGATTTCCAGAGACATTTTCCTGCCACCTGTTTATTCCTTTCTGATACATTTAGGATACTAGACCTTGCTTGTCCTCTGTTGCTAGTGTCTATCTGCCCCTACCCTCTCACCTGTCTCTATCTCCCCCCACTGCCGTGTATTTTCTTACAAATATAATAAGAACCTAACTGGCCTTTTTATTTTTTCTGGTGATGCTGGCGCTCAACCCAGGGTCTTGTGTGTGCTAGATAGATGCTCATCTACTGAATTATACCTTATCTGTTAACATTTTTAAAAACTGAAAAGGTGGTACACTTGTACCTTGTACCGTTTGGACCTAGCAGGAAGTTTAAAAAAACAGCAACAAAAAAAGATAATAGTTATCACCTAAAATCCCACACAGAATAACTTCTAATATTTTGCATTCTGGTTTGTTTCTAAGAATAAGTAAATTTAAAACTACAGTTAAATTCTTGGTATGTATACAATTTTGTATTTAGCATTTAATATTTAATATTACCTCACAGGCATCTCTCTGCCTTACAAAATGATCTTAAACTTTTACATTATTATGGAATCCACTAGAAATTACCTTTACTTGTTACCTTTGTAGTATTTGTAATTTGAAAGTCAGAAAAATTTAAAGCTTATTTTGAAAAGCTTATTCTATTTATAATTATATCACAAGGTATAGAAATAGTTGTTTTTGATTCTGTTTTTAAAGATGGGTTTTTTGGATTCCATTGACCCAGTGGCTTTTCTCCTTTAATTTCAGAATTCCATACGTCATAATCTGTCACTCAACAAATGTTTCCTTAAAGTGCCTCGATCCAAGGATGACCCCGGAAAGGTAGGATTCATTTTCTTAAAACAAAGCAGTTGTATTTTCTATATGTCTCTGGTCATGTTTGAATCTTAAGAATTTGTCTAGTTGATCAGGAAGTTTTGTGAAATAGCACCCCTACCCTATCTCATTTAGTTGGTATGCTTCAAAGACCAACCAGTTAGGTAGAGCTTTCTTTTTAAGCATTAGGAAATTAGTTAGAGAGCTAGTGCTTTGTTATTGTTTATGCATTCTAATTCTAATGTGGTCTTTGATTGCTTTAAGTGTTGTGTATTGAATCAATACAGTGTTTGAATTGCTTGTGAGGAACCACATAGATCTGTGTGTAATTTACAAAAGGAAAAGTATTCTAACTTTGAAATAAAGTTGTTTCTATGTTAATATTCTGTTTTCTTAGTGGCTGTGTTTTCTTCTTGATTCTGTTTATCTTCTGTCATCATCACAGTTTCAGCATTTTATCTACAGAGACATTTTTGTTTGCTTCAATAGCCATGTCAACTGTGATGTGGCCTTAAGTTTGTATAGTGGCTTAGTTTCTAAAGCTCAGAGTACTTGGTTGGACCATGTTTGGTTGATAATTTACCATGATAATTTACTAGATTACGATTTCAAGACAGGATAACTGTTGGCAAGATACCTTCTTGTTGGGGTGATTAGGCTTTTTCCTTGTCCCTGGAAGAATATTTCTAAAACAAAGATGTGTACTTTGTTATAAAATATCATCTTTTGTTTTTCTGATGTTACCATTCCAGCTGCAGTTTACTTTATTCAAGGCTCAGTGTGAGGAACATCTTGAAGTTTTTCAAACATAACTTTCATGTGGTCTTATTGCATCTTTTTCTGTATTTCTCTGGCCAAGTTCTTTTCTTTGAAAATTGGGTTACAACATTAGGTCTTTGAAGCTTTGTTTTTCCATACCTCAGTTGAGTTTGTTGTTCCCTTTTTTTGGTCTCTGTTTCTTTGTAGCCTTTTCATTGTTACAGTACCTCCTAACTTGTCTGTTTTTTTGGACTCCCTTGCTCCAATTTATAGTTACTTTCACACAGTAGTTGTCAATTTTAAGAATGTTAACTACAGTGATCATACAGTGTCTGCGTTCTCCAACTTTTAATTCTTCTTTGCCCTTAGGTTAAAGTCTAAACATATGAGGTTGTAGGGATAACATGTACTGTGCTCACTGTTTAGCCCCAGTCGCTTGCACAGTGGCTGGTAGCACTGAGGCATCCTGGTATGACTGTATTGGGGCCTCTACCAGACTGTTAACTTCCTGAGGTTATAGATGGAGAATTTTTCATTTCCGTGTTAAAGTACACTCCTGTGTAATACTTTATAGCACTTTGAGTGATCTGACCAATCAAATGGTTATCAAAACTGAGATTATTAAAGTCTTATTTTTTTGCCTATATTTATAACTAAGATTTGACAGCAATTGGTGGCAAAATTCTTTTCCCTTTAATACTGACTTATTATCATGAATTAGAATTTTCTATATATCTTTCATTATAATTTTTATAGTATATGTAAATCATATTGAAAAATATTTTATTAGAAATCTGAAGGCTAATTGGCTTTTATAAAGAATTAGTTTCAGTTTGATTTTTTAGAAAATTAAAGATAGTAGAAATGAAAAATTAATTCACATGAATCGTATTATATATTAAATTTTGTTCAATTGAAGATCCATTTTAAAAACTTATGCTGATAGGCTAATGTTCTTTAGTGAGAAGTTAAAGCTGTTCTAGTTAATGAAATAGTATGATGCAGTAATGCAGATGGGGAAAACATATTACTCTTTGAAGTTATTCTTTTGGAATAATGCTTATGCAACTGATTCTTATTGCAAGAGTAATGTGTAACTGAACAAAATACAGAAATGAATTGACCCCTCAGATTAAGCACTTGAACTTTTACCATTAGTGTCCAAAGTTAAAGTTGGACAACAACAACAACAACACATCGTTGTTCCCATTTATTTTGGTCACAAATGAATATCATTTGATCTTACGAAGAACACTTACAGAAATGGAGTCACTTTTATTTTTGGTCTCAAATGAAGTTTAAGCCATTGTTCTCATTGAATTTTGGTGAAAAGTAGATGTTACGAATATGATTTTACAAAATACATTTATCTGAGTTGAAAATCTTTTTTATGTCACAATGAGATTTTGTTCAAAAAGAAAGCAAAATTCCTTTGCTTTTAAAATGCTTTGAAAGCCTTACTTGTATCCCGTTTTATAAGAGTAAAGAAACTAATGCCAAAAGATAAGAAGTGAGTTAGATTTGTTGTGGAGTTAGAACTCAAGCGTAATAGCCAGACTGACTTGTTAGTCACAGAAACCCATTATAGATTGACTTATGGGGTATTTCAGGAGAAAATGAAGCTAGGTTCTTAAATTATATCATCACAAGTGTTTCTTTCCATTCTTGAGTTTTGCTGCCTTTTCTGATGGCTTTCTTATTAGCCTAGTTAATGGAACAGATGGCTATTTGCAGTTTCTGGTTTATGTTCTGTCAGTTTAAGTAACTGTAGGAAGAGTATATCTTTTGGTTTTCTTTTAGTGCCCCAGCTCATTTGGAATTACAGCAGAAGTCTTAGAATAAATGCCAAGAAAAAAATCTTGGTTTGTAGACTAATACTTTTTTCCAGTATACCAATCTTCTTTGAGAGAGAGGCCAAAATGTTAGTTAAGTTTTGGTACTTATGAATTGTTTTTTCTTTTTGTATTACAGTGTTTCCTGGCAGTTGAGGAGCTTTTCCAAAACCACCCTCACCACAGTGGGAGAAAACCATTGAGCCAAGGTGGGGTGGGAGTAGATTTTTGGTATGATTCTTGGGTATGGGGTGGACTTTAACTCCTTAGGATTTTGCTAGCTGTGATCCTGACCCCAATAGGTCCAAGAAAGTAGAACTAACTCATATAGCATCTTCTTCTATATATATTTTCATAGTATAGCTTCCTGTTCTTTGTATTACCAGAAAGGTACAAAGACTAGCATAGACTTGAAGTGTGTTGTTGAATTATAAAGGTTTTATATGACTACTTTTTTTCTTGCTCAATTCTTCATGTAAGAAATCCACGTCATAAAAGCCATTCAGGTGCCCTCTCATGTACATTGATGGTCTGAAAGCCATTCACCTCTGTTTCTTGAAATTTGCTTCAAATAACTACATTATTGTTGCCTTTAAAAAGAAATACAACCAGGTATAGTGGCACCCACCTGTAATCCCAGCATTTTGGAGGTTGAGGCAGAAGAGGACTGCTATGAATTTGAGGCCAGTGTCTGCGTAGTGAGTTCAGAGTTAGCCTGAACTATTAGTGAGACTCTGTCTTAAGAAACCAAACAATAAAATAAAATACATACATACATACAAGGAAAAAAAGTACAAAATAAAATTATATTTTTTCATTCATGATTTTTCTGCTTTTGTGGAGGTGTAGATTTCTTTATCCTCAGATGTAACCCTTTTCTCCCTGCCTATCCTCCCATTTGTCTTCATTTTTAAAATTCTGTCTCTTACTATTTCTGTTTTCTTCATTTTTGCTGACATTTTGATCTAAACCTTTTTTGTCTTTTTATTGTGTAATGTATAATACTTCTTAATTATTTTGAAGATCAACATTTTGCTCACATTATGCAAGAGAATCAGTTAAACTTAAAGAAAAAACAGTTCTCTTTCTTTGCTTTCTAGCTTAATGTTTTTCAGCCTTCTTTTTCTTACTCCAGTTAGTGGAAATGATACTTTGACTTGTAAGGAACTAAAGGATCATAGGAAATAATTTCAACAATTGCATAAACAATTAATGACATACAGCTTCTAACAGAACTGAGAAAATTAGCTAAGAAGTTTAAGGCCAGCTATTAACTACAGTTAATTCAGGGTAAACAGAAGAGCTTTTTGTTTTGCTGGTGTTGGGAGAAAGGTCTTTATTACCTGGACAGGAGAAATTATAAAAGTTCAGTGACTGTAAAGATTGGGGTTTCTTGGTTTGTGGGGAAACAAATATTGTTAGAGAAATACCTTTCAAAATTTCCTACATATGGATGAAATTGTCAGCTTTCGTAGTTTTAATTTATGGTAAGAAACCAGTTTGAGCGCTGGGAAGAGAACATGACCAAGCTTGGCTGAGGGACCAATCAGAACAAAATTTGGATAGAATTAGGAATTAGAAAAATTAATATAACTTGGGGACCAAGAGTAAAGAAATGGATTTGGGCCAATGAGTGAATGTCAAGGCAAAGATGGGTTATGAGAATAAGATAAGTCATTAGACAAACCAGGGTTAAAAAGCCAAGAGTGAGCATAGATACTCACAAGATTTGAAAGATTGAATTAGGTAGAAATGGGGACTAGATCAGTGAGATAACTTTGCAGAAACAAAAGTGCTGTACCTGTACTAGAGCCCTGATGTTGTACTGCTGGCCAGAGCAGTTTAGTTGCAGCTGCTTTATATTTACATATGCAGCATTTTCTGTTCTAAGGCTGGAAAAGAACATTTTGTTGTTGTTGGCCTTTGTAGTTTCCTTTTAAAGATCTAAACTACTTTTAAAAAGTAATATTTAACTCAAATTAATTTTTAAAAATTACATATAATAAAACACTATATAATTTTAGTGTATAATTCTGACAGTTTTGGCAAACACACAGTACAACCATTACTGTGATCAAGGTTAGAATAGAACTCTTCATTGTCCTTTGGTAGTCATCCCTTACTGAAATTTCCCCAGACCCTGCAACTAGTGATGTTTTCTGATCTTATAATTTTACCTTTTGTAGAATGTCTGAAAATAGCACTCATGTAATAGGTGTTCTTTTGAGTCTGCCTTCTTTCTTTTAGTGTAATGCATTTGAGATTCAAATGCATGTTGTAGACATCAGTTAATTCCATTTTATGGTATATATTCCATTGTATAATTTACCATAGTTTAATCCCTATTTGAAGACCATATAGTTTGTTTCTAGTCGTAAGTTCATTTGACTGTCAAGTTCTTTTCTTTTAGGGTAA